CCCCCCCCCCCCCTCCATACGATAACGGAAGTAATGTCATCAAGAATGCATAGAGCGAGGCAATGTTAGAGGGTGTTCGTATTTTCTCGCCAAATGACGTCAACATGATGTATAATGAGGCACGAATAATAATGAGGCACCCTTTGATTTCGTGAGAAAATAAAGAACAGCAGTTTGTTTTATTATACTCAAGTTACACATAGTCCTGAACGTTCTTTTGATCTGAATTCCGATCGGACTGGACTTGGATAGGATTCGCACACCTCTACCCCGTGCCTATATATGACAGGTGCCTATATTCCTCTAACAACTGTGATGACCTTGTAGATAAAGTCAATTTTGATCTTCAAAATATACATAAATGGATGATTGAAAACAAGCTTCAAACGCACTCTAATAAATCTAAACATATGTTTATTGGATCATCCTATAACCTTAAGAATAAAATAACTAGGGGACCTATTCTAATTAATAACCAACCAATTCCCAGGACAGATAGTTACTCGTGCCTAGGCGTGAATATGGACGAAAGACTTTCATGGGAGAAACATATTGATAATATATGTTCAAAGCTAGGTTGGTGCTGGTATTGGTGCAATGAGACGAATTAGGCCTTTTGTCCCACTACCGACACTAAAAATGTTGTATAATGCCATCGTGCAGCCTTACTTTGATTATTGCAGTCCGTTATGGGATAATTGCGGTATTGGAATGAAAGACAGGCTGCAAAAATATCAAAATCGTGCTGCAAGGGTAATTACTGGGGCAAACTATGATGTTCGATCGGCTGATTTACTTAAAAACTTAAGGTGGGAACCCTTAGAAGTAAAACGCAACTACTTGAAAGCTATTTTCATGTATAAAATAATTAATGGCCACACCGCACCTAATCTAAAAGAATCGTTTCGATCAAACAACGAAATAGATCATTCTTACAATCTAAGAAATAGAGAAACTGACTTAGCACTTCCTACGCCAAAGAAAGAATTCGGCAAGAGATGCTTTAACTATAATGGGGTCTCACTGTGGAACAATCTTCCCCAGGAGGCAAAAAATTCAGAATCGTTAAGCTCTTTCAAAACAATTTTGAATCAGAGAGTTTGTTGAAACTGGCTCATCAAAATATATTAACCTCTAAGCAGTACAAATGTGCTATTATTCACTTGTTGCTAATGTGTTTTATCCTGTGAATAGTTCTAAATCACGCCCCCTCATGAAAATCAGCTTGTAATGTTGTTGAGGCTAGCGTGAATAAATAAAGTTTGTATGTATGTATGTATGTATGTGTGTATGTATGTATGTATGTATGTATGTATGTATGTATGTATGTATGTATGTATGTATGTATGTATGTATGTACAGGTCCTGAAAATGACAATGAACTAGTACTATCTTATTTTAAGGAAACGATGATTTAGAATTCTTAACATACAGGTAAATAATTCATATTTCAAATCATTATGATGACATCCATTGAAATTCGAAACTTAAAACCTGGTAATTTTTTATATTAATTACCACATTTTTAATGCAACAATATCCTAATCTTAAAATGTTCCTAGCACTTACAATCCTAGTCCCATTTCTAGCCCTATTCGTGACCGTAACTAGTAGCCTTTAATTTTCTTTGACAACATTTACATAGTATGTAAATTTGCAAAATGTATCTTGTATCAACAATGGTGAACACTACCCTACTTTGTAGATGAGCCTGAATCTAAAGCCATATTAAGGAATATCCTCTTTTAGTTCATGTATACCAGCAGAGGAAGAGCCTGTATATACTACCCAGGGTGACTGTCAACCTGTCATCAGACTGGAGAAACCATTTTGTGAACATTACGGATTTAACCTTGATAAATACGTCAATGTGCCTGGGTATCACCAACAGCACTGGAATACCAGATTGTGGGATTTACAGAATCAATACGATCAAATATTATCTAAAGGGCAAAATGGTTCCGCATCACCCAAATGCATGGACCAAATTCACTTCATTGGCTGTTACTATACATTTCCAGGGTGCGATCGTAGCACAAGTGTATTTAGACAAAAGAAATTTTGTAAGGAGTCGTGTCTCCATTTTGTGAATGAATGTAGTGCGTCTCTGAAGCCGACGATAGATACCTACTTTTCATTATATCCGGGAAAAAGAGCCCTGTTCGATTGTTCGAAAAAACCATCAAGAAACGCTGGAGATTCTCCTGGGTGTCTGTATTATCATAGGAAAGAAAGTTTGGAAAAGGAAGGTATGTTGATGGTTATTTAGTCGCCGGAATATCCGATGCTCTGTCAGGCAGGAGGTGGTTCATTCTGAAGTTCGGTCAGTCCTTCGGTCAGTCAGCCAGGGTAACCGGACATTTTGCCGGAAGACATTTTGCCGACGGACAGTTCGTCGAACGCACATTTTTCCGAACGGATTTTTTGACGAAGGACGTTTCGCTAGCCTGCGTTATTTTTTTAATTTCATTTTTTTATTTGAGGATATTTCTTAAAATACTCAATTTTCGCATTTATTTTCATTTTATTCATTTCATTTTTTTTGAGTCAGTCCAAATATCCTCAAATAAAATTAAACTAAAATACTACTACATTTCGCCGATAAGACACTTTGTCGAACGGACAATTTACCGAAAATAGAGATGTCATTTCGACAAAATATTTTAAAACTCCCACGTACGTTCACCCACATTGTATGCTTTTTATGAAATATATAGGCTACATAATAAACTTTTACCTTTACATTCATGAATCATGTTATTCTCAGCTGTAGCTAAATATAAAACGAAAACATGGTCACTACCAAATCAAAGTCAACAATGAGTTTTATGTTCAGAGACTATATTTCTATTTTCGGCAAATTGTCTTTTCGGCAAAATTTCCGTCGGCAAAATGTCCGCGGCAAAATGTCTTTCGGCAAAATGACCGGCCACCATCATCTAGTTGGATATTATAATATTTACAAATAAATAAAATTAATGATTAAATTATAATAAGCTAATAACTATCTAATCACAAACGGATCAAAGACCAAATTTAGTCACTCAATCAATCTGACAGTCTAATTACTACTTTATCTTGTAGATTGTCTATATTTAGACGGCAGCAGTTACTATGGCAACATATCTATGACAGCCTCAGGTATTTCGTGTCAATCATGGACAGAGCAATGTCCACATCGTCATACCATGAACAAAACGTATCCAGAACTAAATAACGCCGAGAATTATTGTCGAAATCCTCAGAACTCAGGACAACGACCTTGGTGTTTTACTACAGATAGACACAAGAGATGGGAGTACTGTGATATCCCGAAATGTATACCAGGTACAAAGTAATATTGTACTGTGCTATCCCTGAACGCATACCATATGTACAGGGTGATTTCGAGATCATTTTTACATGGGGCTTCGGTGGGGCAATGGCCAGAGCAAGCGCCTTTCACTACTGAGATCATGGGTTCGGTTCTCGCTCCGGACTGTAGACACTCGTGGGAAAAGAGTCAGTCCAAGCTCTTTCGGAATCGTGGGTTTTTACTACGCGCTGTTAAAAACTTTTTGTAAATTTTTTGTCGGTGTCACAGCGGATTTAGACCCCCGGACCAAATCTCCTAATAGATATAGACCCCCGATCCAAATCTCCTAGTAGGTATGGACTCCGTATAGCGGATTTGGCCTCCCCTTTTTTAAACACTTTTATACACTAAAAGCAACCCCAATATTAAAATAACGGTGTTTCGTGTCGATCGAAATGCTATGTGCATTTCTATTGCTTTTGTTAAAACGCATGAGTAAATTCGTTATTGACAAAGACTACATTTTAGGTTTTCAAGAATGCATATTCATGTTGACAGATTGACCGCACTTTTCCCATGCGTGAAAACACTGGCCTTCAAGTTTGGCTTCAAATTTCCGGTTGGAGGTAGTCCGAGTCCCGACGTAGCGTTCCAGATAAAAATTCATTTCACTGATTCGCACTGCTTGTCCGGGTCCGGCACAAGTTGTTATAGTACCTTGTTACAAGATTGATGACGGTCACAGACTTGCTACAAGTAGTTCCAACTAGGCTTACTTGTTTAGAGTTCCCGCGCTATCTGATAAAAGCGCCTGACATGGATTTTTTAAATTTTCATAGAAAATTTTAATGGTCAGTTTATAAACTCTAAAACTACGTTTATTCTGGCAGTTAGATATAAAATCAGGATTTGCGCTTTGAAGTTGCCGTAATAAATCTACGTTCAATTTAACTTAAGCCATACGGAGATCTTATATGCATGCATGTACATTTATATGCTAAGCAGTAGTTATATTAAGTTTATTTAGTTCTGACTGTGTAAAATTATGTGCAAATGATTACAGCGGTGTCGTAAAATAGTTTACGCCCGACGCCCCGACCTGGGAATATCTAAATGGGCGACGCTAAACGAGTAATATTTTTTTATGTGGCCGCGTGTGACCGCAATGCATCTTTTTCTTTGCCACAGTTGATGGTAACTACGGCAAGTGGTCATTGAACAGTGCATGTTTGTAACTTGTGGCGAAGGATTTGAAACATGGGCACGAGAATGTAACAACCCTGAGCCAAAGTATGGTGGAAGAAACTGCAGTTATCAAGGAGAACCTGTTGAGTACAGACCATGTACTAAGAAACCTTGTGTTGGTAAATGTGCCTTTTTTTGAAGATGCCGTAAACTTTCGATTTGTGAGTAGTAGGGAAAACTGAAGCTAGTACATCATTCTTCTTAATTTCAGTTAACGGCAACTACAGTAGGTGGTATTTAAGCAGTCAATGTAACGTTACATGTGGACAAGGTGTAAAAATATGGCGACGTTCATGTGACAATCCTGCTCCAAAGAATGGAGGTCGAAATTGCACTGTGTTGGGAGAAGATGTTAAATATCGAATTTGTGAAAGACGACCTTGTCCAAGTATGTTTCTGTCCCCGTTTTAATCTTTATGGGGATCGGCCACTCTAGGATCTAGTACGTTGACACAACAAAATAGTTCTATCCTTGCCATCACCTTTCCTTAGTTTTAGCTTAGTCTTCCTACTGTTTGCCGCCTTGCTATTGAAAGTCTCTACGATATATATTACTGGCAAGTTTTTCTTAATTCAGGGCGAATTACTTGTACCTGATTGGCTGAGTCGCAAGCGCGGGAAGTTTCTTGTTTTATATAGCAATAAAAACAATGGCTTCTCGCTTTGTCGTTGCGGATAATAATGTTATTGAAGAATTAAAAACTTCTAGTGAAAACTCGAATACTAGAAAAAGTACAATTTATGGGTTGGAGTATTTAAGAAATGGGCAGCATTAACGAACATCGCACAGGGGGTCCAACTAAGAGCTGTGTTATGAATATGAATAAAACAATTAAACGTAATATGAATAAAACATCATAACGTAATATATTTACATTATTGCACTTACTTGTATAAATCATAAGAGCTTGTATTTGCAGTGAATAGCTTTTAACAGGGCGCTTATACACGCTCAGAAAATCGCTCAGAAACACTTGATTCGAACGATTGTTCAAATATGGCGAATAAATTGACAAAACAAAAATATTACATGACGTTCCAACGAAAATAACAGCAAGGATTGCGGGCGCGAGCGGAAGGCGAGGGTAATAGATATTAATAGAAGGGATGAAACACCGGTAATGCGATCGTGTGATGTGTTCCATAAGTAGCCTGTTCTCTCGAAAAATTCCAAAACGCCTCCTGCCAACTCCAACAACGCCTAAGCGCTTAAATAATGAAAATAAACAATGTTTAGCTATACCGGCTAATATGAAATGTTTAAATGTAGCAACCAACGGTTTTTTTTACATTATTTAGTTTTATTATTATTTCGTCATACGTCACGAGAACAGGCTACTTATGGAACACATCTCGCGATAATGGCCAAGAATGCTCGCTGTTATAAATCACATAAATTAGATTGATCAGTGCTTTTTTGGTAATGACTAGGCTTGTTCATGTAAGAGAACATCAACTGAGCCTTAAAACCCCCACAAAAAGCTTAAACGGGTAGTCTAGAAGCATTTTAAAAAGTCACGTGATATTTGTTTCATCCCTTCTATTTATTTCTTCCCTCGCCTTTTCGCTTGCTCGCGCGCCCGCAATCCTTGCTGTTACTTTCGATGGAACGTCATGTAATATTTTCGTTTTGTCAATTTATTCGCCATATTTGAACAATCGTTCGAATCAAAATGTTTCTGAGCGATTTTCTGAGCGTGAATAAGCGCCCTGTTAAAAGCTATTCACTGCAAATACAAGCTCTTATGATTTATACAAGTAAGTGCAATAATTTAAATATATTACGTTATGATGTTTTATTCATATTACGTTTAATTAATGTTTTATTCATATTCATAACACAGCTCTTAGTTGGACCCCCTGTGGTCACGCGCAATGCGGCTCAAACATCCGTTTTCCATAAGTAAGTAAGTTAAGTAGGTGGAATCCTTGTATACATATTACCGATGAGGACCGAGATCATTTTCTCCGTAGATCAGGCTCACAAGTCCAGCACAAGATTGCTTCTATTTTTCGTATACATATATACATCCGTGTACAACATAAAACATATACGAGTACCCAATATAATATACGTACGATGTTATCATATCATGTTATGGGAAAGCAAAAGAAACAACAGTACAATTTACTTGGTAATAATTCGGTAAAGATACGGCGCGTTGATGAAGCATTTGAACCGTACCGACAGGCTTTCATCCATGGCGATATACAGCAACAGAGTTATATAATCAACGAGTTTGTGTCGAGTTTAGTAGCAGCCGAGTATGCCAAATTAGTCGAAGAACGGGGGTATTGTATGGAGAAATGCTTACCAATCGAAGAGATATTTACATGCAAGTTGTGTCGAGAGCTATTGCATGTTCCTGTCACGTTAGTATGCGGGCATACATTTTGTTTGGAATGTTTAGGAAACTATGAGCGCGAAGGTCGGACAATGTGCCCAGGTTGTGGACAAGAGTCAAATCTTCACTACACATCAAACATCGTTGTACGAGAACTATCGCGAATATGGCTCCCCGAGAAAACCTACATACGAAATTGTATCGTCGAAGCCAATAACCTACTCCGCGAGATAAAAATGGAAGAATTTATGGAGCTAACAAAAAATCTCTTGACAAAATACCCAGAAAACATTGATCTCTTGCACTTACGTGCGAACGGGTATCAATGCCTGAAAGGTTACAGTGACGCTCTAAATGTCTTGGATTTTGCATGTACACTTGCACCATTTTGTAGTAAAGTTTTATACGCTCGAGGAGAACTGTTGGCAAGCATTGATGAGCCCGAGGAGGCAATGGTAATGTTCCTTCGTGCCTCTGTTTTGAAACCAAACGACCCCACTTATCGCGGTAGATTGACTTCGTATCTTGAGAAATGTTTAAGAAATATCTGCAATTCAAGCGAACTGTGTTCCCCCAGCTCGTCCTACAACGCTGATCATGAAGCTCCCACTAAAAGAGTATTAAAAGGTTTGCCTGTAAAATCCGAGCCAAATTTCGACGAATCTACCACGACGGCGCATAGAAATGGACATAGAAATGTAGCAGTTACAATTAACTCAAATAAACATGCTTTTAGAACCGACTCCAATGATCACAGAGGCGACCCAATGCGTACAACCGACGCAACAGAGAAAACCGTCGATACTCTGATGGATCAAGACCGTTCATGTTATAAAACACAAGAAACAGAGTCAGAGAACATCTCACAATGTCAGAGAGTTGGTTGTATTCATAGAAATATGATCATAGTCCCACCGAAATCCAATATTCCAAGTGAACTAGAATGTAAACTGTGTTTCAATCTACTCTACGAACCTGTTACCACATCATGCGGCCACTCTTTATGTCGAGCCTGTCTAAAACGTTGTCTTGATCACAGACTTGATTGTCCGTGTTGTCGGACGAACCTACAGAGCTATCTGGAACATTTCATCATGAAAAACGTGGGAACATGTAAGGTGTTGGAGAGTCTATGTCTGTTGAAGTTTAAGGACGAATATCAAACCAGAAGACTAGCTTACGAAAAAGAACTTTTGGAATTCTCAAGGTAAGATGTGCTTACTTGACCGCTTATACTATTTAAAAATATACTTTAAGATATATAATGGTATATTTTGGATATTTCAAGCAACTGAACTGATTGGGTTTATAATTTGAAATATATGCACGTCGTCGTATATTATATTCCCTGATGCATGGCTTTCAATATAGAGTTGAATATAATTAAAGTCGAGTGCTGTTGGTATTGAAAAACTACATGTTCTTGGTTAAAAATTGAAGGTTTTTTTACTTGTGGCAAAAATTGTTTCAGAATTTTCGTATCTCCCGCCCATAGTCCATACTTAAAATGTCGTATATGCAGGTCTATGTCAGCGTGAGATACGGTGATCATTACAAACAGCATAGACAAATTTGCTTGTATTTTTCATGTCGTTGTATGCTTCATTGTTTCAGAACGCAACATTATTAATAAAATAGAAATGAGTTTCATCTCCTGCAAAATATACTGGGTTGAGGCTTGAGTATCCGTTGTCGTAGCTGTAACGACTGGTTGACACTATACAGACTACAGTTTCCTTGTTCAAACCAGTTTGTACAGTGTAGGGACCAACTACCGAACTATACGTTTTAACTTAAATAGATTACATGATAGTATTGGTATTGAGTATTGGGAAAGCATTTACTGCATTGGTATAGCAACAACTAACCATGCCCATGGACACGGTCGTGCGATTCTCATCGGCAATCTCATCTTCGATTGATCCACGGGCTTTACGCTATATATAAATTGCTTTTTTCATCAAAACCTATGTTTTGACTAAGTTTACGACAGTATAAACTTCTTTCGGGTAGAAACTTTCTATTCAAAAAAAGTCTTAACTTGAAGTTAATTCTTGACTATACAATGACAGGAAAGTTTGGTTCAATTTTGATATCAAGAACATAAAGTATGTATTTTCCCGTCATTTCTTCGAGAAAACTGAATATATAGAAAATACTGAGGATGCAATCTTTTCATCTTTGACTATATATAGTCAAAACCTTATTTAATATGTTTATTAACGATGTTCCTACATTGTTTAGCAGTGTTGTTACACGATTCATGAGTTTGGCGAAACAGACTTGAGCTGTTTCCGACCTCGAATGGTCTGGCCAATACAACTACCTGAAAAATATAAGGAGAAAGTTTAGATTTATCATGCAGTCTTAATATAAGTTTTTGTAGTTTGTGTATTTCTTGATGTGTGTGGCGCTTGTCCCCAAACAGTGCAGCAGTAATCAATCCTTGGCTTGGTTGAAAGAAAGTTTTATAGAATAGAATCCTTGTTTGAAGTGGCAGATAAATCTTTATTCGGCAGAACACTGCAATATAAGTTTGCTAAGATTTGAAGGCAAATCATCGATGTGAGCTTTCCAAGATATATGATTGTCAATTTTCACACCCAATAACTTTTCATGCAGACTTTACAAGACAAATGCAAAGAGGCATATTTGCCAAATATTGTTCATGATGACTGAAGGGGCTGATTACATGGGCCGAGTTGTCCCGCGCTTTGCTGAGTTGCCCCGGCTAAGCGAGTTGACTTTTGAATTGCGATTACATGCACCGCGCTAACCCGGCTAGCCGGGCTGAAGTAGCTCATTAAGATTTGTAATGCTTAACAATTTAATACTCGGTGTTAGAAATCGATTAAAAATGGTGTATTTGTTGTATTTGAGTACTACTGTACTTTACCCACTGAATGTTGTGGGTTGAGGTATTTATACTTAGCGCTGATCCCAACAAGTTTATACTGTTTGTATTCTAACAAAATTGTGTCGCTTCCTTAGCTTCCTATCTAAACCTTGAAAACGTTCATTAATATCATTTTGATGTTATTTGAAGTTTTTTTAACTTATATTTGCACATATAATCGAAATTAAAACATGCATAAGTGTGGTTTTCAGCCCGCTTTGCGGAGCCAACTCGGCAAAAAGCGATTACATGGGATGTGTGGGCAATTTCTGTCCCGGCTAAGCGAGTTGATTCGGCAAGCTACAGCCGCGGTCCTGGCAAGGCGGAACAACTCGCTTTGCATGTAATCGAAATGTCAAAATAATAGACAATACATATAGGAAGCGAGTCAACTCGCTTAGCTGGGACAACTCGCTCATGTAATCGGCCCCTTAAAAATACAATCAGAACTTTTCGACGTTTCGAGCGAAGGCCCTTCGTCAGGAATAAGCTAAGCAGAACTTCGCGACGTTTCTGCAGGAAGTAATGTACTCTAAATAGAACTTCGCGACTTTTCGAGGGAAGTTCGAAAGTTTCAGCCAAAGGTTTGACAGAAAAAATGGGATTTAAATGTTCTTATAGTCTTAGTTCTTTTTATAGTCTTACGAACCATGCAGGCTAGTTCGCTTTCCCGAGTTTATATATTGACTCTTTAGACGGGCTGGCCCGCCAAAACAAAGCCACAAGCAGGCTGTGCATGCATGATCGTTATATCCGCAATAAAACACATTTCCCAACAGCAACGAACATGAAATCATTCTTTGGTGATGCCTGGTAATGGTTTATTGACACATTTAGTAGCAGTTACGCTAATTTACAATGCCGTTTAGAGGCTATGAAGTTTATGGTACGTTCCTACAAAGTTTGCGACTTAGTCTCAGTTATTGCTTGATCGTATATAGTCTTGGTTTGGGTAAATTATTCTAAGTACTCGTTTTTGAATTTGTTCAATGCATGCTCTTTTTCTATAGTGTTCTTGGGTTATATATAGACCTCCATTCCAAATCTCTGCACAGAAACCTTGTAGGGTAGTACACAGAAACCAGTAGAGTACTAAGTACTAGTAGTATAGAGTACTAGTAGTAGTATAGAGTACTAGTAGTAGTATAGAGTACTAGTAGTAGTATAGAGTACTAGTAGTAGTATAGAGTACTAGTAGTAGTATAGAGTACTAGTAGTAGTATAGAGTACTAGTAGTATAGAGTACTAGTAGTAGTAGTATAGAGTAGTAGTAGTATAGAGTACTAGTAGTAGTAGTATAGAGTACTAGTAGTAGTA